GTGTGTGTGCGTGTGTGCGCGTGCTGTGGCATGGCACGGGAAATGAGGCCAGCGCTGCAGCGGGAGTACGAGTCGAAACGGGCGGAAGCGTGGAAATGAGGCCAGCGCTGCAGCGGGAGCACGATTCGGAACGAGCGAAAGCACGGCAATGAGGCCAGCGCTGCAGCGGGAGCACGATTCGGAACGAGCGGGGCCCGAAAATGAGGCCGGCGCCTCAGCGAGAGCAGCATTTAGAAAAAAAACGCAAGCGAAAACTCGTTTCCCGGAAATCCTGTGTGTAATTTATCTGGCGAAGGACCAGCCATATGCAATTGTGAGTACCGCAATTGTCAATATCTTCTTCGGTGGCGCTCCCTATGGGGCCACGAAACGTGTGAGGGGTGTGCCGAAATGGGTGTGCGGGACGCATTCGGGCACACCCACTGGGGCCTTCGGTGGAACTCCCTATGGGGCCACGAAACGTGCGAGGGGTGTGCCGAAATGGGTGTGCGGGACGCACGCATGCGGGCACACCCGCTGGGACCTTCGGTGGAGCCCTCTACGGGGCCACGAAACGTGCGAGGGGTGTGCCGAAATGGGTGTGCGGGACGCATTCGGGCACACCCACTGGGGCCTTCGGCGGAGCTCCCTATGGGGCCACGAAGCGCGTGAAGGGTCACGAAACGCGAGAGGGGTGTGCCGACATGGGTGTGCGGGACGCATGCGGGCGGCAGCACTGGGGCCTTCGGCGGAGCTCCCTATGGGGCCACGAAACGTGTGAAGGGTATGCCGAAATGGGTGTGCGGGACGCATGCGGGCGGCAGCACTGGAGCCTTCGGTGGAGCCCCCTACGGGGCCACGAAACGTGCGAGGGGTGTGCCGAAATGGGTGTGCGGGACGCATGCGGGCACACCAACTGGGGCCTTCGGTGGAGCTCCCTATGGGACCACGAAACGTGTGAGGGATCACGAAACGCGTGAGGGGTGTGCCGAAATGGGTGTGCGGGACGCACGCATGCGGGCACACCCACTGGAGCCTTCTATGGGGCCACGAAACGTGTGAAGGGTATGCCGAAATGGGCGTGCGGGACGCATGGGAGCACACCAACTGGGACCTTCGGCGGAGCTCCCTACGGGGCCACGAAACGCGTGAGGGGTGTGCCGAATTGGGTGTGCGTGACGCATGCGGGCGGCAGCACTGAGGGCCTTCGGTGGAGCTCCCTGTGGGGCCACGAAACGTGTGAGGGCGTGCCGAAATGAATGTGCGGGACGCATGCGGGCACACCAACCGGGACCTTCGGTGGAGCTCCCTATGGGGCCACGAAACGTGTGAAGGGTGTGCCGAATTGGGTGTGCGTGACGCATGCGGGCGGCAGCACTGGGGCCTTCGGCGGAGCTCCCTATGGGGCCACGAAGCCTGTGAGGGGTGTGCCGAATTGGGTGTGCGTGACGCATGCGGGCGGCAGCACTGGGGCCTTCGGCGGAGCTCCCTATGGCGCCACGAAGCGTGTGAGGGGTGTGCCGAATTGGGTGTGCGTGACGCATGCGGGCGGCAGCACTGGGGCCTTCGGCGGAGCTCCCTATGGGGCCACGAAGCGTGTGAGGGGTGTGCTTCGGGGCGGCAGCACGGGGCCTTCGTGGAGCTCCCTATGGGGCCACGAAACGTGTGAGGGGTGTGACCGCATGCGGGCGCAGCATTGGGGCCTTCGGTGGAGCTCCCTATGGGGCCACGAAGCGTGTGAGGGGGTGCCGAATTGGGTGTGCGTGACGCATGCGGGCGGCAGCACTGGGGCCTTCGGCGGAGCTCCCTATGGGGCCACGAAGCGTGAGGGGTGTGCCGAATTGGGTGTGCGTGACGCATGCGGGCGGCAGCACTGGGGCCTTGAGCTCCCTATGGGGCCACGAAACGTGTGAGGGGTGTGCCGAATTGGGTGTGCGTGACGCATGCGGGCGGCAGCACTGGGGCCTTCGGCGGAGCTCCCTATGGGGCCACGAAACGTGTGAGGGGTGTGCCGAATTGGGTGTGAGTGACGCATGCGGGCGGCAGCACTGGGGCCTTCGGCGGGGCTCCCTATGGCGCCACGAAACGTGTGAGGGGTGTGCCGAATTGGGTGTGCTTGACGCATGTGGGCGGCAGCACTGGGGCCTTCGGCGGGGCTCCCTATGGGGCCACGAAGCGTGTGAGGGGTGTGCCGAATTGGGTGTGCGTGACGCATGCGGGCGGCAGCACTGGGGCCTTCGGCGGAGCTCCTATGGGGCTACGAAACGCTGTACTGGGTGGGTGAAACGCAAGGAAGAAGAGGAGGAGGGAGGAGGAGGGGGAGAAGGAGGAGAGGAGGAGAGGAGAGGAGGACGCGGGGACCGTCTCTTCAAAACGAGGACCCAACACCACAGGATGGTTGGGACAAAAACAATACGCGGGGGAGTGTCGGATATCTTCGGGACGCCATAAGGGGAAGTGGGAGAGTATTTTCATATTGTGTAATTGTGCAGGGGAAGGGAAGAAGAGAGGGGAAGGCGAGGGAGGGCAGGGGGGGGAAGGATGGGGCAGGGAGGGAAGGGGGGTCCTCCTCCTCCTCCTCCTCCTCCTCCTCCTCCTCCTCCTCCTCCTCCTCCTCCTCCTCCTCCTCCTCCCCCTCCTCCTCCTCCACCACACACGACCCCAACGTTGCCAATTTAGAAAGGCGCCGGGCTCTCTCAGGAGGGCCTGTTGAGTCATCGGCGGCCCCCCGAGGGGGAGCAAAAGAGCACGTCCTCCCCCACCTGCCCCTCTCTCCAGAAGTGGAGGGGTGTGAGGGGGGATCCTGTTTGCGCACCTTTTGCGAAACATCCTTACCCTCGGGAGCCGAAACTCCTTGATCCAGCCCCGAGGGGGGAGGGGGGGCCAGGTGGGGGTGGATGTGCGCGTTCTTTCCCCGAGGGGGGGGGGAACGAGGACCGAAGCTTGGGGGCGTTGGGGTTTGGGATGCCTCTTGGGGCGCCCTCGTGGCCACCGCTGGATGCCCCTCTTTGAAAAATACGGCCAAGGCGCGCCCCAGCAGAGGCCCGGATTTCAAAGGTGCACGTGCGCCCTCGTTTCTGCCAAGAGCACGGCGTTGTTAGCCATAGTAGGCTTTTGCTTTCAGACCCCCTTGGGTCCGGAACAGATCGCGACGGAGGTTTTCCGTGTTGTTTCAGCCTCGGGGGGCCCTAACCGGGCCTTGGGACGGTAAAAACACAACCCTTGATGAAAAACTAGCCTGGTGAATCGGTCGAGACATCCGAGAGTCGATGCATGAGAGGATCATGAGGTCGGTGGTCTGGATTGGCAGGTTGTGAAAGGACAGGTCGGGTTGCGCAAATGTGCACCGCCATTGCGCAAAGAAGAAACTTGCAACGCACAAAACCAACCCAAAAAGGGCCACTCAAGCGCTTTGCATGCCCCCCCCCATTTTTACAGACCCTGCATTACCGACCTGTCAATTGGCCGTTCCCAAGCCTGGGGCCGGGTAGTCCAAACACGATCGGGATGAACACCGGGCCTTGGGGAGGTGGTGGAATCTGGGGGTCCATGCCGCGATTCAAAAAACTACCTCGGGGGGGTGGGACGGAGGAGAAAGATGGCGAAGACGAGGGATAAGGCAGAAACGGCAATTTGTTTGAACCGCCAGACGCGCACCCCAGGATAATTTCTGACGCATCAGCTCGCGCTGTGAATTAAAATCGCTTTCCCGCTGAGACCTTGTTGACATCGAGGAAGGGGGGAGGGAAGAGGGATGGATGGCGGGAGGAGGGAGGGAGGAGGGCGTAGAAGTGAGGAGGGAGGAGGAGGCGGAGGAGGAATGGGAGGAGGAGGAGGAGGAAGTGCAGATAACCGATACAGCTTCCCCTCCTGGGACCTGGGAGGCCCTCGTCGCCACGGCCAGATTCGCCTCGAAATCGGAGACAGAACACACCCCAGGTGAACAGTCCCATCCCAGTCGGCAACCTCTGCCCAGCGTGTCGCGGCGGCCCTGACTTCACTTTACGCCTTGCGAATGGATAGCGTGTCGCTCCGCTCCGCTCCGCTCCGCGAGGCGAAAAACCCCAAACAACTTAGGACGTTAACGCTTTGATGTTGAAGCGCGGTGGGCCAGAACTCCTGGAGCGACATGCTATCCAGAAATTCCCGACCGTACTACATTAAGGAATGCTGAATAAAAAACAGAAGCCGCTTTGCTCAGAGAGCGCCCAGGTGCACGAGGAGCGCTGGGTGCACGAGTCCCTTCCGAACCCGAGCCGTTCCCCTTTCCAACGTCCTGAATGTAAAGTTTGGGCGCCAGGGCCGCCAGCAAAAACAGGCGCGGCCGTGCAGGAAGAAGGGGTAGGGCCCGCGAGCAACGGGTGGGCCCCCCGCCGTGAAGACCCAGACATACGATGTCCCGATGTCTTCAGCACGGCCCTCCGAGAGTCCCAACCCCTTCCACAGGCTGGCTTTTCCTCCCGAGTCGTGTCTTGACGGCCCCAGGGCCCGGCAAGGGCAGGGGCTGAACATTGAGAAAAACCTCCGTCCAGATTTTTTGAACAAGTTGCACGTCTGGGCCCCCGACCCCGGAGGGTCGAGGGGGAGGCTCTCGGACGTTATTCGGCCCTCGTCAGGCTTTCGGAGGCGCATCCTGAGACCCCTTGGGAGCGTCCAAGAAGGGGGGGCGCAAATCATGGCCGGCGGCACATGCGCGGCTCAGGGGGTACGTATTGAAATAAGACGAGGCGCCATGCCATCTTGGGAGATATCATGGCCCACGCCACGAAATCCAACCCCTCTAGTCATCACCCCTCCTAGCCGCCCCCGAACCCCTGGAGGTCGCCAAAGGTGCCGCTGGCCCAACGTGCCTCCAGGATCTACTGGGGGGCCCAGGTGGCCCCCGCAGCACCCACCACGAGGCCCAGAGGGGCTCCAACACAACCCGAAAAGCTGAGTACGCATTGGGCCACGAAGATGCTTAGTTAGCCCCCCTAGAGTCAAGGCAACAATTGAGGCATCGTTTTTGCCCCCCTGACCACCCTCGTGATCCACGTGGTGGGCCAGCGATCTGCCTGCGCGAGCCTCGGCCGCGGCCCAATGTCTACTGCGGAGGCGCATCACTCACTCGCTTGCCCGCCAGCTCCCCCTCTCACTCCCACTCTGTCTCTGTCTCTGTTTCTTTTCATTGTTTGTCTCTCTCTCTCTCTCTTTCTCTCCTTCTCTGTCTGTCTGTCTGTCTGTCTCTCTCTCTCTCTCGTTCTGTTTCCCCCGCCATCCTGTGGTGTTGGTTCCTCGTTACAAACAATACAACACCTCGCGTTCCTTCCTTCCTTCCTTCTTCCTCCTCCCCCCCCTCCTCCTCCTCCTCCTCCTCCTCCTCCTCCTCCTGCTCCTCCTCCTCCTCCTCCTCTTCCGTTTCCTCCTCCTCCCCCTCTTCCTCCCCCATCCCCCCATCCCTGCCTCTGCCCCCCCCCCCCCCCCGCATGTCCATGTCAGCATGCGACTCACACGCTTCGTGGCCCCATACGGAGCACCGATGGCCTAATTGGCAACGCCCGCATGCAATTCCATCCCCCACTTCGGTGCACCCCTCACACGTGCCGTGGCCCCACAGGGAGCTCCACCGAAGGCCGCCCATGTCGGCACACCCCTCAAACGCTTTGTGGCCCCGTGGGAAGCTCCACCGAAGGCCCCAGTGGCTGCGCTCGCCTGCACGCCTCTCACGAGGATCGTGGCCCCATAGGGAGCTCCACCGAAGGCCCCAGTGGGAAGGTTCGCATGGCGGCCCCGCCCCAGTTCGGCGCACCCCTCACACGGTTCGTGGCCCGGGAAAGTTCGCATGGCGGCCCCGCCCCAGTTCGGCGCACCCATCACGAGGATCGTGACCCCATCGGGAGCTCCACCGAAGGCCCCAGTGGGAAAGTTCGCATGGCGGCCCCGCCCCAGTTCGGCGCACCCTTCACAAGGATCGTGGCCCCATAGGGAGCTTCATCGAACATGATAGTCACGACTGCGGTACTCACAGCTGCATATGGTTGGGTCCTTCGTCAGGCTAATTTTCTGTTGCCTGGGATACCACAGAACCCTACTGAGCGCATTTTTTGCTGCTTCCCAGGAGCTCTGTTTTTTGTTTATGAGCATGGGATACCAGTAAACCGCACACACTTGTTTTGTGCGGTTGGTGTCCATGGGGCCCGCAGATGTCAGCCAGGCCAAGTGTGTGGACCTCCTGCAAACAAAAACACCAGCGCATGTGAATATTAGGGTGCGGTGGTACCCCATATCACCAGAACAAGAAACACAAAACAAACAACAACAACACCAGCAACAACAACCTGTGTATGGTAAGGTTTGAAGGGCATGCTCCTCCCCCAAGCCTTCCTGGTCAAGTTTGCGGGCCTCCAGACAACCAGAACGCATACAGCAAAACAACAGATGTGTATAGTAGGATTCGCGGGTGTCACCGACCAGCAACACAAGCAACAACTGAGTACAGTAGGGTTTGGTTGCCATGCTTCTCCCGCAGAGCCTCCTGAGCAAGAGGAGGAGGAGGAGGAGAGACAAAGAGAGAGAGAGAGAGCGGGAGAGAACGCAGCGATTTGGGCTAGGGGTGGGGCTGACCATGTGTATATACATATATATATATATACACATGTATAGATCGCGTGTGTGTGTGTGTGTGTGCGTGCTTACGTGTATGCGCACACCTATTCAGACATATACACGCATCTGATCGACAGCGTGAGCTCTGACTCTTTTTATGTTGAGCTGTGAAGCTCAAAGGTCAGATGTGGCGCAAGCCAGGTAATGCGACATACGTTGCATAAGCTACGTAGTGCAAGCTGTATTGTGCAATCGACGTGCTGAAAGCTATGCGGTGGAAGCTATGAGGTGCACGCTACGTGGCAAACGCTGTGCGGCGCAATACGTACGGTGTAGATTATGTGGTTTAAGCTGTGTGGTGTAAGATCTGTGAGCAATTTCGGAAACCGTGAGCCCCAAAACGTGTTCATCTCTTGGGGCGCATCTCTTATTTCCGCCCACCTTCCGACGCCTTCTGCGGCGGAAGAGATGACAACTCCTTCGATCCTCGAAGGCAAGGCCATTTCTGGAACGTTCCATGTGGAGAACGCTACGTAAGAGGTGCTGTCTACGTGGGGCAAGCGACATGGCGCATGGCTCTGCAGCCTCCCAGCATCCGGGGCGATCGCGAGACGCCCACGGGCGGGCACCAGGCGACACCTCGCCACCTCCCTCCAGCGCACGAGACCCCCCACAGGTCGCCCACGAGGCGGCCGCGGCGGGCACCGGACGCAAGCCCAGCACACCCTCTCAGCGCACGAGGTGTCCACGAGGCGCCCACGAAGCCCCCACGAACGGCCACGGGCGGGCACCAAGCGAAACCTCGGCACACCCACCAACCGCACGAGGCGCCGACGGGGCGCCGACGGACTGCCACGGGCGGGCGCCAGACGAAACCTCGGCACACCCAAGCAGCTGCGTGTGAGCCGAGTGAGAATGCAAACGCTGTGCGGGTAATCCGTGTATGCCCATATGCGTATGTCTGCGAGTGCGTGTGAGCACCTGATTGTCGCCATTGACATCGTTGCCACCGTCGTCGACATCGGTGTCGACATCGGTGTCATGGTCATCGCCATCGGTGTCATCGCCTTTGTCGTCGTTGTCGCCACCCTGCCGCCATCTGTGCCCCGAGCCTCTGCAATCATACGCCTACGCGACAAATCTGCGAGAGAGGAGGCCGGGGTGCCGGAGAAAGAGCAGAGGTAGGTTGGAGGACAACAAGGGAGGAGGATACGTAGGAGAAGAAGCAAGAGCAAGAGAGAGAGAGGACGAGGACTCGCCCAATGCCTCTGCACCCCATCCCTTCATCTGCCCCCCGCCATTTTACCATCCCCCTCTCCCTCCCTCTCTTTGTCTCCCTCCCCCCCCTCCTCCTACGCCTGCCCCTCCTGCGTCGCCTTCCCCGTCCTTCTTCTCCTCCCTGCTCCCTCATACTGCTGCTGCTCCCCGCCCCCCTGCTTCCCCACTGCTCCCCTTCATTGTTCCCCGTCCTCCTCCTCCTCATCCTCCTGCTCCTGACTGATCCTCCTGCCCCCGTTTCTCCTGGTACCATTCTGCCCTCTTCCGCTCGCCCTGGCCCGCCCTGACCCCCAGTCTTCAGTGCACCGCACTATAACCCTGCTGGTATTCATCCCCCCTGACGGTCTAACGCGTTCGCCACGCAGCGGCGCGCTGGGCGAACGGCGAAAAGCTCTGCGTCGTGACGTCCTCTGCTTCGAAGTCGAACAAATCCTCGGCCAGACGGGGTTCCTCTCCCTGCCCCGTCCCCCAACTCCTCTACAATCTCACCATCTGAATACTATTTTCCGCTTCCCGCCGAAGACTCCGAGGTCGTAGCCTGCCCCACTCCGCATTTGGTTTTTACACATCGGGTCCCCAAGCGGTGATCGATCATAGGTGTATTTTCCAATCCGAATGTTTGCGGTGTTGCCCGAGCGGCGTTCCCGCTTCGGCGTTGGCTCCATTTTTTGACGCCCAGTCTTTCCCAATCCTACTCCCGCTGCAACGCTGACCTCACCTCTTTGTTGCGGACCTTCCCACTCGTGTTCCAACTACAGCGGTGGTTCTAGTTTTACGTGTCCGTAGTATCCAAACCTTAGATGTACATGTTCGATGTGCGACGTGTCTGGTTTCCTTCCGACCATGTTACGCTTGGCCATCCTGCTCTACGCCGTGCTACGCTGTGCACTACTATGCATCTCGCATTCGACAGTGCGACTACCAGTAGGGATATACGGCATAGTGGAAGGTGGGATGGAATGGTAGGACGTCTGATAAGGCGCTTGGCTTGACCTCTCCCTCCTCCTCCTGCTCCTCCTCCTCATCCTGCTCAACCTCCTCCTCCATCTCCTCATACTTCTTCTCTTCATCCATTTCCTTCTTCATCTCCTTCTCCCTCTCCTCCTCCCCCTCCACCTCCACTTACACTCCCACCTCCTCCTCCTCCTCCTCTTCCTCCTCCTCCTCCTCCTCCTCCTCCTCCTCCCTTTCCTCACCTTCATTATCCTTCTCCTTCTCGTTCTCCGTTTCCTTCTCCTTCTACTGATCCTTCTCCACCTCCACTTACACCTCCTCCTCCTCCTCCTCCTCCTCCTCCTCCTCCTCCTATTCCTCCTCTCTTGCACAACCTACCCTTTTTATCTGCCCTCCTTCGCGGCCACGCTGCCGCAGGCGTCCGCTGGCCCGCGGGAGAAACACACTCGCACGGTGCACACTCGCGCACGCACTTTAGAGCACTCGGACCGACCGCCCAAGCATTCCTCGAGGCCTTCCCCGACATTGTCCTCCAGCGAAAGAATACCTTACAACAACAAGAAGAACACGGTACCTGTAATCGAAGGCCGGCTCGTTGACATTATCCTACGACGTACCCAATCCATCTGTACGAAGCGACGAAAAGGAGTTGGATCAGACTGGTCCAGCTGATGACCACACAAGATACGCCACTGGTTGTGCAAGTTATGTGGGAAGTGCGCGTTGCACGAGTCACATGGCAAACGGAAGGACGAGGACTGAGGCCCCGGGCTCGAAGATGGGGTGGGAGCGAAGGGCAGGAAAAAGACCAAAGAGGCGAACATATAACGCGACGGCAGCAGTGAAACGGCGAAGGTGTAAGAGGACGGCGATCATTTTCCGATGGCGCGCTGTGAAAACAGCTCGGCCCGCGCCACGTCGCCCTGGCGCTCCAAAGGATCAGCTGTCCATGGCTAGTGCAAGAAACAAACGGGGCCGAGCTCGCCCGCCAGGTTCTCCGCTTCCTCCCTGCGCCGTGCAAGGCGGGAGCTAAACGTCCGCAGGCGCGCCGCCAAGTCATCGGGCGGCCCGCGGGAACTGACATCAAGGCGAATCGGGATCCGCGTAGAAAGTCGCTGCGCTGGACCCTTCTGCAGCCCTCGATTGTGGCGACAAGTTCGCAGTTCGCAGCCACCCTCCAATGATAGAAGGGGATGACCTGAATTTGCGACAGGTGCCCACTACGCTGGCCTCCCAACCAGTCTTCAAACGTGGCAGCGGTTTCGCGATTCCCAGCCCCCTAAGGCTGGCGAGGTCCAGTTTGACTTTGCGCCTGGCACGCGATATGCCTCCCCCCAGCAGCACTCGAACGAGGCGACCGTTCTGCATTTCGCAGCCCCCCAGGGATAGCGCGGTCCAATCTGAAGCTGCGCCTGGTTTCCACTATGCTGCCCTCCCCAGCAGCCCTCGAAAGTTGCGACAGTTTCACAATTCGGAACCCCCCCAGGGATGGTGAGGACGACTTCCGCTCCCCCCCTGGTGCCCGCTAGTCTAGCCACCCAGCAGCCCTCAAAAAAGCCTGGCGGGGTTGAACCTGCATCTGCGACTGGTAACCACTACGCTGGCCACCCCAGCAGCCCCCGAAGTGGCGGCAGGTTCGCAATTCGCAGCCCTCCAAGCATAGCGAGGTCAAACATGAGCCTGCGCCTGTCATCCCTTACGGTGGCCCCAAAAGCAGCCCCCCGTACGCGGCAGCAGTTCCGCAGTTCCCAGCGAGCCCCCAAGCGCGGCGGCGAGGCAGGAGGCACGAGGCGGGAAGGCAGACGAGGAAGGAAGCGGAAACGAAGGAGGTATAATAAGGCGGGGGAAGGAGAAGAAGTTGCGACTGCAACGTGGCTCCCCCGCAACCCTCGGAAGTGGCGACGGCTTCGCAGTTCGCAGCCCCAGGGGCTGGCGAGGTCTAATCTGAATACGCGACTGACACCCACTGCGCCGCCCCCCCGCAGCGAAAAAGGCGACGTTTTCGCAATTCGCAGCCCCCAGAGATGGCGGGGTCGAATCTGAATCTGCGCCCGGCACCCGCGATGCTGCCCCCCCCCCCCCCACCCACCCCCCGCACCTTCGTGCGCAGCGAGAGTTTCGCAGTTCGCAGCCCCCCGCGGACGGCGAGGTCTCATCTGATCTGGATAAGGCGTCGTTCCGCGGGGCCCCCTGGCAGCCCGCGAAAGGTCAGAACGAAAGCGGTCCACGACATCGCCAAAAACACCGTGTAGCTCGAGCCCTGCTTGAGAGCCTGGGGGCTGCTCGGGCATGGCCGCCTTGGGGGCGCCACTCCCCTGCGGAAGCCGCCCCCGCCCTTCTCCTCCTGAGTTTGGACGCCCGCACTGGGCACGGAAAAGTAAACACGATGCCCAACAACAAATGCTGCCGCAAACTGACAGAGACCGCTGTTGGGCAGGCGGCCTGCTGCCCCAAATGGGCAAGGTCCGCGGCGGCACCGACAGCAAATCCGGTTCAAAATGGGCAGGACTTGCTGCCATTCTTCGTACTCATTATTCCCGCACCCATGTCGATCGTACCAACTGAATGGCGCGCCCACTTCCGCGTTCGGCGGCCCCGGCCATCCTGGGCGAGGTGCGGGGGACCTTCAAGGCGAATCTCTGCGGCGCAAAGCGGCGGGACGTGGAGTCGGAGGGAACGCGCCCGACAGCACCTGTACATGAGCAGGTTCGACCTGAACCTGGCCGAGGAGAAGGACGAGGATGGCTGCCGCTGTGAGAGCCCCTGCGAGGATGCGACTGGCACCAACTTGCAGGTATCCGAAGACAGTGGAACTTTCGGCGGAACACTGACAGGCATGGGGACATGTTGGAGGACCCCAAAGTCCTGCGCAAGCGTCAGATAACTGGCACCAAGGCAAACGGGGAGGAGGTGAGCATCTCCGAGAGCGGCGGCGACACCCCCTGGCAGCTGCCAGAGACAACGGCCTGGCTAGTGACACAAGGCACAGAGGACAAGCTCGATGACTTGGAGGCCAGCACAAGTGCAAGCACCAGTGGCCTTGGCGCCGTCGCTGGCGATCAAAACAGCCTCCTTGCAAACGCGAGCGGCACCAAGTGGTGGGCTCATGTTACTCTGAGCCTAAAACAACTGCCATCCCTGAAGGGCGAATCATTTAGTTCCGTCGCCGTCCGTCGGTCTTCTTCAGCAATGGCGGAGGCGGCCTCGTTTTCTTTCCGCCGCCTGTTGCCGCCCGACGATTGGGGAAAGATGCCAACTGGGAGGAAGAGCCGGGAGCACGTTGCAAGTTCCGCCTCGAGTGCTCCGGGCGGCGCGTTGGCAGGCCTGGCTGCCCCTGCGACGGCGCAGCGGATCGACGTGGATAGCGACCCAGCCATCGCGCATGCGCGCGAGAGACGTGGGGATCGCACCCGAGGTAAACGAGTTCATCATCATCGATGGTGTCGGCCACCGTGGAGAATGAACGTGGACAGTGTCCCTGCAGGGGTGGGATCAGACGCAAGCGCGGCTCCGACTTGGACGAGAACTCTCTGGCTGTTTTGGGCTCGATTCGCGCGGGGCGAAACGCTGCAATATTGAGATGCTGGAAATGGCCACAATGGACGCAGCAGCCAGAATGGAGACGGCTCCAGCCACCATAGATCACCGCGGCGACGGCCGACAAAGAGCGCGCGTCCACTTTGAAGAGGGCTACCAAAAAAAGGCGCCGAGGAGCACTCCGATGAGAGCACGATCTCCCGCCCCCGCCGCTGCCATCCACAGCTGCGCGCGCCGACAGCACCGCCCGAGATCGAGGCGGCCGAGCTGCGCGCCTTCTAGGGTGTCCACGGGGGAAGGGGGTGCATCCAAGAGGGAGGGCTCGCAGGTCATGGCCCGAGGCGCGTGCGCGGACGGGGGGGGGGAGATGCCGCTTCGGATCCGGTGCGACGGATGGCGATATGCTTTCCGCTGAACAACCTGAAGCGTAAGAGCCTGAGCCATAACGCTGCGCGCGTGCAGTCCATGTGCAACGAGGGGCGCGCATCTGCGTGCATGCGCGATAATTCTCAAACTCGCTGTACAATTCTGTTGCCCCGAAGCGATCTCGATAATATGAAACTGCGCGTAATTCGTCGCACGTGCGCGCGTGTACTCAGGGCGACCAGCCGTCGACCGGCTCCAATTCTGCTGATCAGACTTCTACAGTTCCCGAATTTAAGGCAGGCGTACGTAAGCCTTACTGGGCGTAGCTTGTCAGAAGTGAGAATAGCGGGCATGTGCACAAATTCGCAGCGAACGGCATGCGTGAGCGTGCGCAGCATATTAGGCAGGCTCCGACCACCACATCCAGATCTCCCAGGTCGTAGCCCATGGAATATAAAGTTAGTATCCTCCTCTGCTGTCGGCGGCACTGCTTGATGGAACATCACTCTGCCACTCATTGCTGTTCGAATCTGCGTCCCATCCATTCTCTCTGTCACAGCGTCGGCCAGCATGCGTTTCGTAGGACGCCGCGACAGTGGCAACTTGGACTGGGTAGTGGCGGCCACCTCCTCGAGCAGCGCGTCCTCGAATAATTCCAGCACTCCGAACAGGTCGAGAAACCATCTCCTTTCGGCCGGCAACTTCGCAGCTCCTTCTCGATGGATAGTGCCGCATAGCGAAGCACACTCGGTAACGCACTGGATGGGGCCCGAGCTCGGGTCGACGTCGTCGATCGTCATTCTCGGTTTGATGATGTCCAATATCGAAGCTCGCACCACTATAGCTGCTCCCAGCGCGTCAACTGCACTCATGCTGTCTGTTGCGAACGTACTGCGGCGCACCCTTCGTATCGCAACGGCTCGCCAATCCACCAATGCTGCTTTGTTTTCTCCGTCCTCCAAGATCTTACGCTCGGCCACGAGGATCAGGAATCCGGCCTAACCCTTGGCCTCGAGACGCTTGGGCGCCTCCGATACAAACGCCGTCCTCGCTCTGCGTGCGCACCGCCAGGCTACGCCATCCACCTTATCGTCTGTCTCGTCCATGTTGTCCCGAGCCGCCTCATGGAATACTAAAATACACAGGTCGCCCTCCATCTTGAGCATGGTCACTCCAGTCGCCTTGCAGCGTCTAGCCTCGGGCACGATGCGATTCGCCTCGATGAAGTCTGCGACTACTGGTGCATCCTGAAATCTCTGCGACACTGAAAGTCTGGCCGACATGTCCGGCCTCGTCTGGGTCGCGAGCCAGCCTGGACTTCCCATCGAACTTCGATTCTTTGCTGTCTCCACGTCGGTCGCTGGGCAGCCTAGGTCCCTCTTGCGCTCCTTGGTCAAGTCGAGCGGCCGCGCCTTCTCTGCAAATCTCTCCTCTCCTGACATAAATGAATTGAACCATCTCCTCGGCTGGCAACGCTGCATCCGCGCCGCAAAACGTGAAAGGCTGTCCTTGCCACCCCCCGAACGGAGATAGCTCCTGGATGGTCTTGCAGCTCAACTTGGCACTGGCCGCGATCAGAAGGTCGCCCACGCGAGCGCATGCGATAGCCTGCGGGAAAGAGCTCTGACTATGTCCCACGAACAGAGCTGGGTACACAACGCTCTGCACTAAATTGCACGCGTCTCCGTCCTCGCCAGTCAGCTCCACCATGAGTAGCGCACGTTTGAGAGTAGCCCACTGTTGCCACCGTGCAGTCGAAAATCCAGAGTCTCCCTTCACCACTCGTAGTACCTGTCCTGGACGGAGCCCTGGCAATCCTTGAGCCGGCTGCTCCACGAACAGCTCAATGTAACAAGGTTGTTCCCCGCCCTGCATGAATGCACAGATGGTGCCCTAACCGCACCGCGTGGTCACGATGTTAAAAAATTACCTCGGGCGCGTCACCGTCGGAGCGTCAGGTCTCCAAGCTCTGGTCTGTAGGCCTGGATCTCAATGCCCTCTAGCGCACAGGCGAGCTTTCGCCTGCGCTGGCGCAGGGTTGGCCTCCGTGCGAATGGTGGCATTCTTTTCGCGGAACACAAACCCCGATGGCAGGAAGCGGCTCTTGTCGTTGGCTCCCGCGCCTTGTCCGAACCCTCGGGTGACATCGCCTCCACCGAACCGAACTTCTTCGACTCCTCCCAGTGCTCGGCGATTGCCGCCTGGTAGGGAGGCTTCTGCTCGTCGTGGATGTCCTCCCACGCGAGTTCCTTGTCTTGCATCTTCTTGCGAAGTCTCTCGCTCTGAGCTCGAGCTCCTCGCAACGTCGAAGCAAACCTGGAGTTGTCAATTCGCCCAAGTAGTCGCCCGCAATCGCGTAGTAGGGGCGGGCTGCTTGGCGAGCAGCCTCTGCCTTGGCTCGCGTCGCCATGGTGCACGGCGGCGCGTCGTCGAGGGCACTGCATACTGACCGGCGTCGTTGACAATCCGCACGGCTCTAGTTGCCGCAGTCTGGCGCTACCAGCTGCACAGCGCCCCCCTGCGCCGCGGACGATGAAGACGCCGGCTCAGGCCGCGCCGCTGGGGGCTCGGCTTCGGCTGGAGGGAGCTCGACATCAGCGCCATCTCGCGGCGGCGCAGCGTTTGCCTGAGACTCGGGCTCTGGAAGCCCCACCTCTACGCCCCCAGTTTCCTCATGCGGCGGTGGCCCCTCGCCTCGCACGTCCACGCGCTCCATATAGGCACTGGCGTCGATGACTGACTCGATCTGCTGAAGTTGGCCCAGGGCATCCCCGCGCTGGTCGCCGACGGCCGGCCGCCGAACTTCGGGGGAGACATGCCGAGCATGTTCAGGAGCCACGAGCTTCGCAACGCCACCATGTAAAATCTTATCGTTCTGGCCCTGTTTGCCCACTACCACTGCCGCGGGACCTAGCCGGGCCCCTTTTCTTGGCGGGGCCCTTCTTGGACTGTCGGCGGTAGAGGCGCAAGTCTCCTTGCTCCGGAGGATGAGGAGCCATTCGTGCTCGTCCTATAAGCGCCTCTCGCAGGGTGCTGTCGCCTTGCATATCCATAAAACCCTTGCGAGCGGTCGCCCTCATCTTGAGCTGTCTGTCCATCGTTTGAAACTCTGCGCCCTCGTGAGCTGCGTCGCGATGAACTCCGTCAACTAGGTCGGCTGGCAAACGGATGCTCTTGCCAAATGCCCGCAGCTTCGGTCTGAATCCACAGCGCCGTCGCAGACCTTTCTTGGCCTCTGTGACAACGGGCGCGATCGCGAGCGCGTCTGCTTCTCCTGAGGCTTGAGCGCGGCTGATCGTCCTCTCGGCTGGCTCCTTCCACCAACCCCCGCGCCCCCCAATCCGGCCACGTTGCCGGGCTGCTCGTCCTGCCGCGGGCGCGACGGCAGTGGGGCCCGCCGGGCATCTACTAGAATGCCGAGCCAAGCCCCCCCTCGAGATCCGCTGCCACGCTCGATGGGGGCGCTGCCCAGCTTGTCCAGATCTACGTGAATACTCGCACCGGCATTTCCGAATGACGGCTCTAGATCATTCACGCCGCGTGACACGTGGCACGCAAACCCACCGCTGACAGAACATCCCAAGGCTCGTTGCCGTCGTTGCCACTGAAAACGAACTAGTCCAGGCCGATCTGCTCATTGAAATCGGCCACGTGAGAGAGGCGACCAAGCTTCGCGATATTCTTTTCGGCACGCATGTACGAAGCGCATCATAGTGACTTCGCGGCCTTGACCACCTCTGCTCAGGCCCAGTCCACCTTGCTTGAATAGCCCAGGTTCTGGCGCAGTTGTCGCAGAGCTGCCGGATCCTTGCTCGAACACTCCGAGCTCCCAGGGCCAAGCTGGCTAGCCCTGGCGCCGAGATCTCCTGGGACAGGTTCGGGCTCGTGCCACATCTGCGCCTTCAGCTTGGCCGCGCGATCAAGCGTGGTCATCTTGACGCCCCGTAGCACTGCGTCGGCGCCCATGTCGGTGATGCGCCGCCTCGCCACGCGGGGACACTCGGGACCATCGGGCAGCTCGGTCGGCAACTCCTCGTAGTCCCCCACGTTGTCGTAGTCAAACGCGTCGTCGGATTCTCCGACCAGGAGGTCCATCAGGTCGCCGGTCGCGAACGCCCCGTGCTCCATCGCGCAGGTCGAGTTTCTGCGCTGATGCGCCAGCAGGACGGCTCGCGCGAACTCCTTGGCCCATCGCGGGGCCAGCCGAGCGTAGTCGGGCCCTCCCGGATGGTCGCGTCGGCGAAGCCCGTCGCATCTCTCCATCGACTTCTTCACGTGCGACTCGTTCGATACTGGGATCTCGGTCGCCTTGCCATCCTTGCCTCCAGACTTCGGGTATTGTAGGTCGAAGTGGCATATGTCGACTCGCACCTCCTCGGCTCTGAGACGGGCCACCGCGCGCGTCGGTCGGGGCTGCTTGGACGCTTCAGAACCCACCGAAGCCCCCAGTGGGACCGCCCGCATGCGTCCCACGCGCCCTTTTTGGCATTCTCACCCACCCAGCACAGCGCGTCGTGGCCCAATAGGGAGCTTCATCGAAGCCTCCAGTGGGACCGCCCGCATGCGCCCCGCACAACCAGTTTTGCCTTTTTTCACCCACCCAGCACAACGCTTCGTGGCCCCGTGGGGAGCCCCGCCGACGGCCCCAGCGCTACCGCCCGCATCCCCACCCAGTGCAGCGCTTCGTGGCTCCACAGGGAGCTTCACAGAAGAAGACATTCACAATTTCGGTACCCACAACTGCATATGGTTGGGACCTTCGCCAGGATAAGTTGCGCATGCAGCTGCGTGCCCAAATAGCGCTGCACACGAGACGTGTCATTACCGCGAGATTTGATGCACCCTGCAGCCCACCGCCGAAACAATGACCCATTCAACTCCCATGACAGAAAACCAACCCGCGGTGGTGACATATCTATATATAGCCCTGTGCACCCACCAAGGACCCCCCTTTCTCATGATTATGAATGAATTTATATATGATTCCTACGATTTTCGGACTCACTTTTGAGGCTCTTTTTTGGAAGACTTGTTGGGCTCCCTTCTACTCAACTCCCTCCGTCTCCAACACAACACCCATTACTCAACAGCCTCCTTCTCCAACACAACACCCATTACTCAACAGGCTCCCTCCCCAAGCTGAACTTGAAAAGAATCTTCTACTCAACTCCCTCCGTCTCAAACACAACACCCAGTACTCAACAGCCTCCTTCTCCAACACAACACCCGATACTCAACAGGCTCCCTCCCCAAGCTGAACTTGAAAAGAACCTTCTACTCAACTCCCTCCGTCTCCCACGCAACACCCAGTACTCAACAGCCTCCTTCTCCAACACAACACCCGATACTCAACAGGCTCCCTCCCCAAACTGAACTTGAAAAGAACCTTCTACTCAACTCCCTCCGTTTCCAACACAACACCCAGTACTCAACAGCCTCCTTCTCCAACACAACACCCGATACTCAACAGGCTCCCTCCCCAAGCTGCACCAGAAACCCCCCTTTCTCATGATTATATATGAATTTATATATGATTCCTACGATTTTCGGACTCACTTTTGAAGCTCTTTTTTGGAATACTTGTTGAGCTCCCTTCTACTCAACTCCCTCCGTCTCCAACACAACACCCAGTACTCAACAGCCTCCTTCTCCAACACAACACCCGAGACTCAACAGGTTCCCTCCGTCTCCAACACACACACACATGTACTCCAAATCCTACCACCACAACGCGACGCGACACCCGAAACTCCAACCGCACCCGCCCCCCTTTTTTCTTGGCATCTTCCAAGAGAAAAGGGGGGTTCGTGGTGGGTGCTGCGGCCTATATATACATATCTATACGTATCTCTATATATGTACATATATGTGTATATATATATATATACATGTGTGCGTGGGTCCCGGATTGCCATGTAGGAAGAAACACTGCTAGGGCGATCTGCCCTCCTTCGCGGTCCAGCTCATTGGTCGTAAAGAAGCCTTCGGCGGGTTGATCGCTCTCAGCTTGCTGTTCGTCGTCTCCTGAGGTCATGAGAGCTTTCTTGGGCGGACCTGGGCACTCCGGATCTCCTTTCCAATGTCCAAGACGATTGCATACTGCACAATGGGTCTGGGCGTTCAACTTCGCGATTCGATCTGAACTTTTTCCATTTTCCAGCTCGAGAACCTCGGCCTTGGTCCCGCCCTGTGCCTGCGCCGCCACTGCCGGTTCCCGGCAGACGATCGCGATGATAGAATCATCGGGTTTGCTGCGCATGTCGCTGTCAATCCTTAGCCCTGGCCAACATCTTCTCCAGCTTGAATACCTCGGCCTCCGCCTCGACCTGTTCATCGAGCAGTTCCTCCAGCACGTCCTCCGGGTCGACCTCGGTCTCGTACGTCTCGTTGTTGGCAGGCTCGCCTGGACCCTCCTGCTCTGTCATGTGTGCGCCCCGTCGTCTCGGATGTCTTGGCGCTGACTGCGGTGCTGGCGGCGGTCTTGTCGGGTTGTTGCGGTGGCATTCTTAGCGTTGAACAGCGTATGTTTCTGCAGCGGCTTCAGGTCATAGATGTTCTGGTTCGCATTGAGAACGCCAGGTCTCCCGATCTGGCTGGAATCCGAAGCGCCACGAAAATAGCCACGCCAGCGCTTGGTCAGGAAACTCGATGTTCAGCGTGTTCAATCTGGACACCTGCGAGTCAAATCTGCTGATACAGCTTCTCATAGCTTCTCCAGTTTCCCGTCTCACTTTCGTGAACAATGTCTTCAAGTGGGCCCCGAGCTCCATCACTTTCTCATCATCGAAGTTTGCGGAGAGGAAATCCAATAGGTGTGAGCTCCTTGCTCATCCTGCACAGCCCTCGATCTAGATCTTCAGCATTAAACCAGGCGTCTCCCTTGAACTCTCTGTATAACTTCGCGGCCTGCTTTCCCACCACCAGTCGTGTACGCATACTGAACACTGCCACTCTCCGCCGGATGTCCTTCATGGTCACCGTCTGCGGGTCGAAGCCTGGAACTTTCACGCGATTTCTTGGGCCTGACTGGCCTCCAGCTTCGTCATCATCTGTTGGCGCAACCTTCGGCGCCATGATGCTGGAGGACTGGGCGAATTACGCGCAATCCGGGAATTTATGAGCGTCCAGCCTTGTATTCTCCAGCTGCTGATTGAGTGTTGATGCCACGAGCTTTGCAGTCCGCGGCTCGAATTGCTCCGCTGCCAATGTGAAGATGTTACTTCGGATCCGATGCGACGGATGGCGGTACGCTTTCCACTGAGCAGGCTGAAGCTCAAGGGCCCTGAGCCATAACGCTACACACGTACAGTCCATATGAAACGAGGGCAATACCTGCATGCAAGCACTTTCTTTCACAGGGGGGGGGCAGGGAACGTGCCGAGAGAAGAGGGGGCCATGAAACATAGAGAGGTGTCGTGGGCCCCTTAGCCATGGCATCCAGCCCCCCACCAGTCATCACGACGCGCGCTCTGGGCGCATGCCCTCGAACTGGACGCTGCGAGTGCGGGTATCACCACCAACTGGGGGCCCCCGCACTACAACAAAGCAGCGCGTCCGTGATAGGCACAGACTCTAACAGCTGCTTCCCCTCATCATCATCATCATCATCATCATCATCATCATCATCATCATCATCATCATCATCATCATCATCATCATCACCATCACCATCATCATCATCATCATCATCATCATCATCATCATCATCATCAGCATCATCATCATCATCATCATCCCATGCGACCTCATCTTCACCACACACATCCCTCCTCATAACCTTCCCTCACCCCCTCACCCCCTCTCGATGCTGCTGCTGATGCTCCTCCTCCTCCTCCTCCTCCTCCTCCTCCTCCTCCTCCTCTATCTCTTCTTCCTCGTCGACCCCTCGTGCTCCCTCATCTACTTCCCTCATTTTCTCACCACCTCCTGCACAAATCCTCTTCGTCCATTTCCTCATCCTACCCTTCTCTGTTCCTCATCGCCCCTCCTCTTCCTTGCGCTTCACCACATCCTGTCCGTCACAACCCCCCTCCCGCCCTCCGCCTCATCCACATCAACATCCCTGTCCACATTCCGCTCCTTTCCCTCCCCCCTCCTCCTCCTCCACCCCCTCCCTCCTTCTCCGCCTCTTCCTTCCTTTCTCATCCGCTCCTTGTACACCCCCTCCCACCTTGTCCTTATTCTGGGTAGTATCGGATCTTACTCTGCCACCTAGCTGGCCGCTCGTGATTCCATCTGGGGGGATCAATCAAAGTCGACGTCGATGCTTCAAAATGCGTGGCAGAAGCCGGACATGGCGCACAGCCAGCGCGAAAAAGCGAGTTACCGCTCTCGCCTCGGAGCCGCGCACTTTTGCCCTGACAGGCTGAGCACCGCGACATTGATTTTGCGCTCGCCAATCCGTCGACGCGCGAGCGGACGAGAATGCCATTTTCGCCTCGACAACGCGTAAATTCTGCCTGAAGGTGGCGCTCCCGCCTCGGCGCGCGGCCAACATGTGCGAATCGCCACGTCTCGGGCATTCTGCGAACGGGCGACCTGTCACCCTCGCCCGAGATCCGTGCACACTCCGCTCGGAGGGCTTACCTCGCAGAATCGCACGAGCGCTGCTGCGCCCGCGGGACCGCGCGAGAGCCGGCGCAATGCTGTCCTCGCCACGGCGCCGCAGACGTTGTGTGCCAAAGTGGCAGCGCTGTTCTGGCGGGGCGCATGCTTCGTCTTCGCCGCGCTCTTTGGAACCTGTGTCGCCCGAAGGAGGGCTAACTGGTGCTTTAGCCGGAGCGCCGCGCGAGGACGTGCTGAAGCTCCGTGCCGTCCCTCCGCGACCCGCGTCGTTTATCCTTCGCCGAGCCGTCGCACGCGGGACCGTGCGCGAGCACCTTCCGTTCGCTAGGTGGGGGCGCGTTCCAATTCCAATATGTCGCCGCGCCGTTGGTTCCCGTCGCGCCCAAGTAGACGACACCGCGGCAAACCCACGGCGAACCTTGCGTCCGAGGCGGCGTTTGCCATGGTACCCGCGGCGCCCTCCCCAAGACGCAAGGCCGCGCGTCGGAATCAACGGCGCGACTAAATATCATGTTGTGCCACACTTATTTATCATGTTGTCGGGGGGAGGATGGGAATGGGCGGGGCCCGCTGAAACATCTGACCTGGCAGACTTGACCACTAATCTTACGCCTTCCTCTCATCCTTCTCCTCACCATGACTACTCTTACGCGTCCCTCCCTTCCTGCCCCTCATCCTGCCCATCCTTCTCTGCCGACTTACATCGAGCGGATCCTCGGCCACGCGGTTCCAAGTCGTGGACACGATCTGGCAGGCCAGTGGGAGGGAAGGAGCGAGCGGGGAAGGAGGGAGGGCAAGAATATAGGGGGAGACGGAAAGGGGCAAGAGGATGGACGGGAGAGGGCAAAGAGGAACGGAGGAGGGGAAGGACGCAGGGAGGGAGAGAGGGAGCGTGGGTGATAAGAATGCAGGAGGGGGGAGATAAGGAGAGAAGAAGCAGGAGGGGTGAAGGGAGGAGGAGCGGGGGTTGGCCTCCTCCCCGCTACCCCCCCCTCCGCCTAGCCCCCCTCCCCTCCTCCCCATCTCGCTCCTCCTTCCCCCCTCCTCCACTGCCTCCAATCCGTGTTCCTAAAAGCACCCCCGGCAGACCCGAAAGAAATGCGAAGAACTACCGAATCCCTCGACTCCCATCACCAACCCATACTCCTCTCCTGAAGCCTGACGCTGACAAACAACTACAACATCGCGAAACATCACGACTGGAGCCCCAGACCCCATCTTCCTGCGCCCGAGCCGGATCAATCTGTGAGGGCCCCGGGGTCGAAACTGAGCGAAAACGCCCTGTGTGAACACATTACAACGCCAAGATCGAAGGGTGCCTCACTGCCCCCCACGCCCCCCGGTGGGAAACTGGGGAAGGACAGGGGGGCCAGGCGAAGCAGGCGTCCGAACCTCCATCCCTCGGTTGCCACCCTGCGGAGAGGAGTTCTGCACGGATTTCTTGGATCGGTGCTGGGCCCCCCTGACGGGGCCTCCAGCGCCACCCCTGGCGTCAGTGTCTGTCCCTCGAGAAAACCACTAAATCAACCACCTGCTGGTCGGAGGGTGTGGAAGGGAGAGAACCATGGAAACACGTGTCTACCGGGTCTACCGCTATTCCACCTGTCCTGAAGTGCGTTGTGACCACCATTTCGGGGGGAATCCGGCCGTGGCAACGAGAGGCCTCCACGGACGAGCGGCGGTATCCGCACCTTTCCTTCTTCTGGTCACTTCTACCATCCCGCCTCCCCTCCCCTCCCCTCCCCTGGCCCGCTGGCGGGACTCTGGGAGAGGGCCGAAGGACAGCGGAGACCGCCTCCGCACCTCGACCTCGGCCCCACCCCCGCGAGGGAAAGGCAGCCGAAGGGGGGCGGGGGAGGGCGGCCCGTCCTGCCACGCGTCGCCGTCGCCCCTCGAGGATCGGTCGAGGGAGTTTGCCGGGAGAGGCCCTCGACGGGGAGGGCGGTCGAGGACGGGGGAGGACGAACTCGGAACGGTCTCGGGCATGCCCTGCTGTCGCTCGTTTGCTAGCCTCTGGAGGCCTCCGGGGCTCTGGGGGCCTCCAGGGGTCGAGGTCCAAATTGTGAGAATGGTCAGTCCGTCCTCATTCGCCTTCTCCCAGCCGGGCTCCTGCTGCTACTGCACCTCCTCGTCCTCTTCCCCCTCATCGTCCTCCTCCTCCTCCTCCTCCTCCTCCTCCTCCTCCTCCTCCTCCTCCTCCTCCTCCTCTTTCTCGCCCTCCGCGCCCATACTCCTCGGAGTAGCCTGCTCCTGCCCCTCGGCCTCCTCCTCGTTCTCCGCCTCCACTACTCCCCGCTGGAAAGGGCCACGGAAGACGACAAACGGAAGACGCTGGTGACGACGGCGACGGCGATGACGACGACAGCGACGACGACGAACACAGTCGACCCCTGGGCCTTGCAGGGGCTGCATTCTGACCAGACTTCCGGGGGGAAACCAGCTGAGGCCACAGCTGGCCCCTGAGTAGCCCCAGAGAAGCAGGACGTGCACACCACAATCATAATAACTTCGATCCTCGACCCTCGCCGCCGACGACGACGACGACGGCGGCGGGGGTGCGACCTTCAGTACATGCCGCGACTGGGGCAGGATGGCCTCTCTGCGGCCAGACATGGCGGGCGGGCGCCGCCTTGTGGGAGGCAGTGGAGGAATGGGGGAGGAGGGGAAGTCCACAGATGGGGAGGAGGGGAAGAGGGGAAGCCCCAGAGCACGAGAAGGAGGATCCAGAAAACAAGAACGTCAAGCCAACTTACGACAAGGAGGACCCAGGAGTACGACAAGGAGAACCCCGAGTACGAGAAGAGGGAACAATCAGAAAATCCAGTCAGAGCACGGGAAGAAGGATCCAGAGTAATGGAAGGGGGATCAAGAGTATGAGAACGACCTCCTCCCCGCTCACCTCTTCCACCCCCTCCCTCCACCCTCTCCCCTCCCTCCCGCCTGTCCCTCCTGCCCCTGAAAAACCAAGGGAGCAGCGAGGCCCTGGGCACCCGCCCCCAGCGTGGCGCCGGTGGGCACGGCGGGCGGCGGTGCAAAGACCCCCCCTCGCCCACCATCCTCTCCCAGGTCCTTCGCCTCCTCGTCTTCGTCCTCCTTCCCCCCTTTTCCTGCTCCCCCCCCCTCCACATCCTTCTCCTCCTCGTGCACCTTCTTCTCGCCCTCCTCCGCCCGCCTCCTCCTTCTCCTCCTCCTCCTCCTCCTCCTCCCCCTCCCCTCTTGCGCGCGCAGGCGCAAGCGAGCGCCTGCGCGAAACGGACGGGCGCCCGCTGACAGCGCTTCCCACGCGGGCTGCGGACTGCGGCGGAGGCAAGCGCGCCGAGGAGAGCGGGGCGGGACGAGGCGGCGTCGGAAGGGGGGGGGGGCCCAGACCCCCCTCGGGCCGTGACAAAATCACGACGGGAGGTTGCTCGCTATTTGCGCTATCTGGGAGTCGTTGCTGGGCCTCGGGGTCGTCGAAAAACACGCGCAGAATGAAAACACGGTCCTCGGGAATGATCGACACATTGTCTCCATCGTTCAGAAGGGCGCTTCCGCCACAGCGCGAGCCACTTTTATGGATCCTAGTGTTTTCTCATCGTTCTCGCCCGGCTACATTGCCCTCCCCCGCCTTCCCCTGGTCATCCTGCTCCACCCGTTCCTCCAACTCCTGCTCCTGCTGCTGCTGCTGCTGCTGTCCCTCCTCGTCCTCCTCGTCCTCCTTGTCCTCTCCTACTCCTCCTCCTTCTTCTCCTCCTCCTCTTCGTCCTGCTCATCCGCCACCTCCTCCTCCAACGTACGCAACTCCCGCTATGTGCTCGCACATGACACAACGGGGTATAAGACCGAGCAAGACTATACGGGGACCAGAACAATACATATTCCATACGTGGAAACTAACGCACGTTGCTGCTGGAGTTGTTCTTCGCGGGCCGTTAGGTGTCGCAGCTGCTGCGATGTCAAGGCAACGGGTCGCGCGCGCGCAGCTTGGCCTTTTCCTCACCGTTCTCCTCACAACCCTCCTCTCCCCCTGCGGTGCCCCGCCGCCCCCCGCCCCCGCGCCCCTCCCTGTCACCGTCCCACCCCCCCGCCCGTCCCCTCGCCCGCAGCCTCCCCTTCGTTCCCCTTTTCTCCGGCCTCGGTCCACGGAGGTCCAAGGCTTCCAGAGGCAAACGAGACAACAAGACACAGCAAAAACAACGCCAAACGTAACATCCACCGACCCACGCTTTCGGGGGTGACAAGGCGCGTGAGATGACTGGCTGTCGCCCTTCCCATTTCCCCCTTCCGGGAATCAAAATCCTGTTAGAGGGGGGGCCAGGGAAGGGTTCAACGAAGTGCCCTGGCACTTGTAACTTTGACATTAATTGCAATTCCCGCGGCGCTCGCTTAAGCTCATGATGTATCACTCACGACTGTGGCGCAGCAAGATGCGTGCGATGAGTGAGTCAAGCAGACGCCGACACGGTCCCAACGAACATGCAAACCTTCCTCCTGCGCCGAATCCTCGAGATTCTCATCAACCTCCGCCGTCGTCGTATATATCCTCTCGGAGGCAGAGGTACGTACTGATATAGAGCTGCTTAGGCGAATGAGAAGGATAGGGGGAGGAGGTAGAGAAGACCCCTTCCCCAAGCGCATCTTCATCAATCAGTTTCCTCCCCCCGCCGTCATCAGCACACCTAACCAGCATCGCGGAAGGCAGGGACAAAAAGGGCGAACGCGACACAGAGGAAGGGAATCCATGACGGTGGTGATGCGCATGATGGCGAGGGCGGCGATGAGGATGAAGATGGGATGAGGGGGAGAAGTCAGGAAGACAGGGAATGTGATCACATGGTGTATGTGTAAGCAGAGGGATCCGAAGTGATGTCCCCCATTATCGGCCGATCTCCCCCTCTTCGGGTAAGGGAACAGTGGCGTGTGCGATAAGATCGGTAGCGGGCACGAGTAGGAGGGAGGAGGCGGGTGGTCCTGGTGATGGTGATGTCGGTTGTGATGATGATGGGGGCGGGGATGGGATGGAAGGAGCCAGAGAGAAGAGGCCGCTGATGGCATGGAGGATGTGCAGGAGGAGAAGTCCGAGGTGACATGCGACGGATAAGGAGGATGATGCCCCCCTCTTCCATCTCTGCATACGTCGTCGTCACAGAATATATGATGCGAGATACACCAGAGGGGATACAGCACCCCGCCGTTGCGGATAAAAGACAGGGGGGCGGCGGGGACGCCGGCAGTCTGCGAGGCTCTCAAGAAGCCCGCCGCAGGCGCTTAACTATTACAGATTATAAAACCAGCCCGCCGCAAGCGCCGATTCTTCGTTAAACAATCTGGGTGGGTCGCGGACGGGTCGCGGTCTGATCGCGGGTGGATCGCGGGTGGGTCGCGGGGGGGCTGCGGGTAGGTCGCGGGCCGAGTCGCAGGTGGGTCGCGGGTGGGTCGCGAGTGGGTCGAGGGTGGGTCGCGTGTGGGTCGGGGGATGGGTCGCGGGCGAGACGACGACAACAAACTACAAACAACAAACACCAAGCATGAACAAACAAACAACCAACAATCAACAGCCAACCACGAGCAACGGACACCGACCAACAAACAACAACCAACAAACATCAAACATCAAACAGCAAACAACAAATACCAAGCACCAACAAACAAACAACCAGCAACCAACAACCAACCACGAGCAACGGACAATGACAAATAAACAGCAAACAGCAAACACCAAGCAACCAACAGCAAACAGCAAACAACAAGCAGTACATAGCACACCACAACAACAAACACAACAACATCAACAATAACAACAGACATAACAACCACAACACTAACAAAACGACAACAACAACACCAACAACAACAACAACACAAGTATCAACAACAACAACAACAGCAACAACAGTAACAACAACAATAACGCCAACGACAATCCGCACCGCGGAACCTCAGTTCAGTCACGCGCCCAGGGACAATGAATGACCGTTCGGTTCCCTCATTCTGACCAAGGGGTAACAAATCTCCGTCTGCCTGTAAACAAAAGAGTCTCCCCCCCCCCCAAAAAAAAAACAAAGGCGGCCACGAGACCCTCAGGGGCAGCACCCAACAAGCGCTAGTCCCCAAAGGGGTCGGCGGTGCGGCGTAAGCCTGCGAATCTCCGTCCGGAGGCGACGTGCTGAGCGGCAGCGTTTTTCGGCGAACGCCTTAATGCAACGTGTCCAATGTATCCAAAGATTCCATATTTGCAACATATTGTATTGTAATACGTTATCATGTCTCCCCCCTAACCCCCCCTGGGAGCTGCGCCACACTGCTGGACCAAAGTGCCCCCCTCCCCCCCCCTCCCGGGGCTCAGAAACCTACCAAAACTTATAGAAAATCTATGATTTCGACCTCTTCGGCCTCTTGGGGGGCCGAGAGGGCGCCAAGACGGTTCAAGATGGGCTCTGTGCGAGCCAAAACGGCCGCGAGACGGTCCGAGACGGTTCCAAGAGGGCCCAAGAAGCCCAAATGAGGGCCCAAGAGGGCCCCAAGAGCGCCCACAACTGCGCCCCCAGAAGCCAAAATCATTGATTTTCCTACGTTCTGGGCACTATTTTAGCGTTCTCGCCTTTGCGGCCCAAGCAGCTTCGCAAATCGCTCCAGCACAACCCAAGAAGCCCCCAAGAGGGCCCCGAGACGGCCCAACAGAACCCCAAGACGGCCCAAAGAGGCCTCCAAGACGGTCCAAGAGGCCCCTACGACGGCCCAAGAGGACCCCAAGACGGCCCCAAGGCGGCCGCGAGAGGCCCCCAAGACGGTTTCCGAAGGAGCGAAACGGCGCAAAAGCGCACCCAAACCGCCAAAGACGCCCCCAAGAGGCCCCAAGAGGCCCCCAAGAGGCCCCAAAGGGGCCCCAAAAAGCCCCCAAGAGGCCTCCAAAATGTCTTCAAGAAGCCTCCCGAAGGCTCCAAAAAAGCCCCCCAAAGGCCACACAGCGATTGGAGTGTAATGCCATTTGTCCAACCTGGGCGAACTGCGGCGCAGCGCCAGCCAGGTGGAAGTTGGTCGCAGCGGCGCCCATGATTAGAGCCGGCGCTGGAAGGAAATATGGGGAGGGAGTATGAAAAGGAGGGAGGGGGTAGAGGCCCCAGAGAAGTCCCCAAGAGGCCCAAGGAAGCTCCCAGGAGGCCTCCAGGAGGCCCCCAAGAGGCTCCCAAGAGGCTCCGCGACGACGTGACTGTACGTGCTCCGGACGTGCACCCCGCGAAGCCAGAGGAATCTCCGTCCGCCCCGAGCGATGGATGTGTTGGAAGGGGAATCGCGTCAGGTTTTGGTGCAGGGGACGTCTTGCGCTCCTGCCAGAGCGCTCCACAGACAGATGCCCCTATGCGACGGCTCGCATGCGACGGGATGCCCGCAACCTGGCACGAAATGACGCCGACACGTTCGGACGACGAGGCTCCTAGCCGCCCGGCGTGCAGCCCCCTACAAGCTAAGAGTGAAGCGCGCGGGCCGCGCCGGCGCGCATGTGGCCCGCCCCGCGGCATCCCGTTCTGCCCCGCCCGCGCGCGCAAGCGCGCGGGGCGCTGCCATGGTTCCCTCGATCTTCGGCTGCACGCATAAGTGGCCCTAGAGCCCGGCTGCTGAAGAAAAGAACGAGC